AGTGGTTGTGTATGATCGAACGACCGAGCGCGAAGGTGAGCGCTCAAGCGCGGGCGCGCGTGCTCACCTACACGGACACAACGATGTTCTTTATCGTTCTCTACTCTCACAGTTATGACTCCTATCCTTATGAACTTTTCATCCGAGTCGATAAACGAGTAGTAGCATAATCGAGCTAGCTAGCTAGGCTAATAGCCGCCACGTTCTACGTTTATAATTCTCAGTAATCGTTCAAGGCGATATATATATATATATATATATATATATATATATATATGCGGTTAGTTTTATCAATCTGGTTGAATCTTCATTCACAAGAAACCTCGTAACACCACGTTGAGATAACACTTACATGTACATGTGTAACATATGTTCGTAATACTCACGCGTATCTCGTACGAATCGTTTCATTCGAGTAACATTAGATAATCAATAATCGATTAGGGAATACGAGGAAATAAGAGGAGAAGAAGAAAACAAAATTTGAAAAAATTAGAAGTAAATAAATAAATGAAGAAAAAATAAACAAACAAACAAACAAACAAACAAACAAACAAACAAACAAGCAAAAAAAGAAGAAAAGAATAAAGAACTTAGAGATAATCGATCCGCAAGGAAGCTCTTCGAAAATATTTCTTTTTCTTTTTTCTTTCTTTTTTTTTTTTTCTTTTTTTCTTTTTGTTTTCAAGTTAAACCGATGTTAGCGAGTATTGTCGGGTCAGCGAACGAACGCGAGAACGTGAACTTTCACTAGTCCGAGTTTCGAATACATCCAATCGATTGTAGAGACGAACTTTTGACGTGTCTGGAATGTAAGGGGGATAATAGCAAAACGATGATCTCTTATAAGCAATAGACTTTTCGGTGGGAGGTAGAATCTAGTAGACAGAGAGAGAGAGAGAGAGAAAGAGAGAGGTGAATTGTGACACAATTGTATAACTTCGTAGAAACACAACGCGTACCTTTAATTATTAAATTCTTAAGGATCGATATACTTTTTCAATCGGTTCAAATCAAATAAAGAATCATTCGTACGATAAAATATCTAATTGAGAAAAAAAAAAAAAAAAAAAAAAAACTACCGATATTTATGTGGTTCATAAGAAATATTCATTACGTTGTGAACTTACGTTAATAGAATTAACTATTTATATATTCCATATTAACGTCTAATGATATACGAAAATTCAAAGTTCCATTTGAAGATACATATATATATATATATATATATATATATATATATATATATATGTATATAGAAAGAGAGAGAGAGAATGAGAGAAAAAAGAACGAATTAGTTTAAAAAAAGAAAAGAAAAAAAATGAAGGAATGGAGGGGAGGGTGGGAAGAATCAATCGAGTAAAAGATCGAAGCAATTCTTTGAGTAATTTCCCCGTTCACCCCTTTCGTCACCTAACAGAGGTAGTAGTAGTAGTAGTAGTAGTGGTAGCAGTAGTAGTAGGGTAAGTAGAGGGAGGAAAAAGTGGGGTGAAGAGATAGGCTCACTTTGACGTATAGATAAGTACGTACGTGCGTACCACTGTCGTTATAGATCGCGAAAAAGAGAGAGCAAACTGAAAAATTATATCCGCCTTCGACGAGAGTCAGCAGCAAACTGAGTCGAACGAAGTGAAAGGCACCTATAGCTTTTCTGGTGGCAGCAGTGACAGTGGCGGTGACGGTGAAGGAGGAGGAGGAATAAATGGTGATAGTGGTGGTGGTGGTGGTGGTGGTAGTAATGGTAGAAGTGGTGGTTGTGGTGATGGTGGTGGTGGTGGTGGTGGTGGCGTTGGTGGAGGTGGATATGGAAGTGGAGGTGGCGGTGGATCCCATCAGCGATCTACGTCAGCAACAACGTAGCACCGAACTTATTGTAGGACAGCACAAAGCTCCCCTATACGATTGATAGAGAACTAACTAACTACTACTAGTCTACTATCTATTCTAACTATAACAATCATACACCATTGTCGCTATAATTTATCGTGTATCCTTTGCATAATATCATTATAATCAAAAATCGTACGTAGACGATGGAAAAAGAGAAATAGAGATAGAGGAAGAGAGAGAGAGAGAGAGAGAGAGAGAGAGAGAGAGAGAGAGAAATTATATTTGCATTATAATATAACGACCGAATTAAATTCAATTAAAGCGTATAATATTACAGTTTGCTTTAAGATTTCGAAATATCCAATGAAAAAGAATAAAATTTCGTTGATAGTGTTGTAAACGCCAATCTTTTTTTCTTTTTTTTTTTCTTTTTTTTTTTTAATTTTTTTAAGCTTATTCCCCTTCCGCGCATATCCGCCCACCTATCGCTCGATTCAACCAACCCTAACTTTTCCCTCTTCTTTCCTTCCGTCCTTCTATCCTTCCTTTCTTCCTTCTTTTTCTTTCTCTCTCTCTCTCTCTCTCTCTCTCTCTCTCTCTCTCTCTCTCCCTCTCTCTCTCTTTCTCACTCTCTCATATTCCCTTTAACGCTCCAGCACTTTCTATGACG